TTTACAAATAAATTACAAGATATTTCGTATTTAAAATGTACAAAATTCAATTTTTGCTAAAATTAAGCTTTCCACAAAAAAATCGAATTTATATTCTTGTTTGTTCTGATTTGCGTATACATACATACACTGTAATCGCAACCAAAACTGATAACGCTAATGTTGCGCCTATTATTGAGTTTTACATTTTCTGTTGTCAAACGATTTATTTTTTATTCGTATATCAAAAATGATATCATGAATGATAATGTATACTTTTTGTTTATCGAACTATATATTGTTTATGTATGTACATATGTATGTACATATTCTTATATTTATATAAAGGTATGCATCATGCGCATATGCGTATACACTTGTTACTTCATAGGCACACCGCTGCAAGGAACTAATCATTTGCTAAATAGCAGTCGTTTAGTAGGTGCGTTTGACTCATTTGAAACTTTAAAGTGGATATACACACTTTTTTGCACGTAATATAATTTGTTGGGTGGATGACTAATCTTTTTTATTCACACAGGCGATTGTGTAATTGAAAATGTGGAGGAGATTTACACTTTTTTGCGCTTGGAGCCTTTTACAAAGCGTCTCTTTAGTCCATTCGTGTAAGTGATAGGAAAATGCTATCAATTTTAAATATTTTACATACAAACATAGATATGTGCGTTAACTAAAAGAAAGTAGCATATTTGTTGTAGTGAAAAAGAAACATAACGCTTTGTTGAAGAAGAATATGTTTGCTTTTTGTATTTTAATAATTTTTATCTTGGCAGCCCAACTCAGCAATGAAAGCAATCACAAGAGCTTGGCTACTCCATATTTACTCACTGAAATTGATTCAAAAATTATTGGTGGTTCGCCTGTTGCTATAACAAATGTGCCATGGCAAGTTTCGATACGCCTTAAGTCATACGAAATAGCCGGTTTTGGTCGTGGACACTTATGTGGAGGATCGGTTTTAACATCGCGCGTTATTATTTCAGCGGCGCATTGTACCGTCAAGTAAGTATAGATATTTTCTTTATAAAATCTATGCATGTCTAAACATATATATATATATATGTATTAGGGTGGGTCAATTAAAAAAGTTGATTCATATCCTTGCGATTCTGGTACTATGGACCATAACAAACATTTTCGCCCAAGGAACCATACCTCTAAAATCATTTTCGAGCCTGCCAAAATTTTTTGGTAGATATTTTCAAAAACACCAAATAAACGACCTCTTAGATGCATTTCAAAGACAAAAAAATATTATTGAAAATGTGTATACGGGGGTTTTTTGGGTCAGAGAATCCATTTTTCGCATTAATTTTTAATTTTGATCGCCACCAGAGTGCGTTTTTGAACAATTATTTGGATTTTTCACTTTTTTTGGGGGAAATTGACGAACTTATTGCTCAAATAGTCAAATCTTTGACTTTCTAATAATTTAAAATAACAACAAAACAGCCCAGACTAGAAAGCAAGAAAGATTTTAGAAAATAATTCATTTGAATTCTTTTATAGTCTTTCCATTCCTTGTATATAGGAATTCAATTGAAATTTTTTCATTTACATTTTATATGTTTTTTTTTCTAAATTGAATTTTTGTTAAAATAATAAAGCAAAATAAAGAAATAAATATTTTTCCATTATTTTAAATTATTAGAAAGTCAAAGATTTGACTATTTGAGCAATAAGTTCGTCAATTTCCCCCAAAAAAAATGAAAAATCCAAAAAATTGTTCAAAAACGCACTCTGGTGGCGATCAAAATTAAAAATTAATGCGAAAAATGGATTCTCTGACCCAAAAAATCCCCGTATACACATTTTCAATAATATTTTTTTGTCTTTGAAATGCATCTAAGAGGTCGTTTATTTGGTGTTTTTGAAAATATCTACCAAAAAATTTTGGCAGGCTCGAAAATGATTTTAGAGGTATGACCTACTAATTGACCCACCCTAATATGTATGTATTATGTAAATATGTTAAAATCCTGCTCCTTTCTGCA